TGGAGGGTGTCCCTGCCCATGGCAGGGGGGTTGGAACTAGATGATCTTTGAGGCCCCTTCCAACCCAAACCATTCTATGAGTCTATGATAACTTTCTCTTAGAACATCCAAATAGGAACTTTATGGCTCCTATCCATTTCACTAAAACTGTCTAGGGGGCAAAGATAACTATGAAAATAATTTTTAAGGCCAGTCATCTCATTTGGCTAGATACTAAAGGTAGTAAAAGGCATGTCAGATCTGTAGCCTTCTTCCTGTCAAGCTTCTAGCTCTGGCTCCTGCAATCTAAGTTCTTTAAAAAACCACCAGGAAATATGGAAAGGTGGTTAAGCTATTTTCCCCAGTACCTGAGAAGCACCTGTACTGGTTTTGCTAGGGAGAGCATGCCTAAGTCTAAAGGCTTTCACAGCAGGAGACTGGGTGTCTAACAAAACAAGACTAGCAAGCTAAAAAGTTTATGTACCTGCTTATTTAAATTTTCCTTTGGATTAATATCTTTTTTTTACACTACTGTGAGAATCCGTACCTTTCACGTTCCTGACCTTTCCCTTGTTTGGCTTGGATTGCACTTCTGTCTCAGCAATCCCCATTGTTTCACGCACTTAGAACCTTGAGTTCTAAGCAGCACAGTATCTTCCAGAAGCACTCTTTCTCATAGTGGCGTTTACAAGGTATCACCACCAACCTGTTCCACGAATGGCAAAAGCCATTGTCAGACAAACACAATTCACTCTCTAATGACTAGAAGTAAATAAAAAAAACCCAAACAATTTCCACACAGTTTGGAGAAGCAGAGGCTTCATTTGTTTTATTTACTAGGCAAGAAGCAGCAGATTATTTTATTGAAGTAAAATTCTATAAAAAAAAGAAATGCATACATTCAAAGCACTCAAGCACATCCATCACCTAAAGCAGAAACTAACACCAGAGTTGTTCAGATCAATGAAGCAGCAAAAGGCCAGCACAGTGTTCAGGACACTGGCAGCAAAGTACTTTTCTGTACAGTTCTGTAAGTCATATAAGAACATCTTCAGGTACCAATCTGACTTAGGCAGTACCTTTTTTTTTTTTTAAATGAGAACATTCATTGATTACACAACTGCTGCTGTGAAAGAACCACCACAATTATTAAACCTTGTCTTCTAGCACACAAATGAACACCACTGCTTTAAAAAAAATCACTGAAATAAAAAATATGGATAATGTATAAAAATAGTATAATTTTTATTTTGAAATACCAGTTTTTCTGCTATGTTTCTGAAGTTAACTGTAACCATTTGCCTTGTCAAAGGAAACGATGGGAGGCAGAAATAGCAAAGCAAATAGCGTATCTGTGAATACGCTTCCTCAGATCTTATTTTTACGAAACTGCAACAGCATATTACCTAGACTTTCCTTTCTTCCACCAAATAAAAGGTATTGCTGAATAGAGGATGACAACTCATTACTTTTTTCTTTGACCACTGTCTGATTCAGCTTGACAGTAAAGCTATTCCAAGTTTAAAACATACTCAAAATCTAATTTTAGCCATCTTATACATTATCAAGCATGATGAAGATTATAAAAGTTGTCTTATACATTATCATCGGTCAACGTTTATTCCATTCTTTTATGCTTTAACAATTTTTGAAGATATTGTAACCTCTGGAAGTTCGAAAGTGACCCACTCTTCCTTGTGAGCACCCAAACTTCAAGCTGCATCCAGGTTGTTACTGCTTTGGCAGGATTACCGAACACTGCACTGTTGTCTGAAATACAAAGTCAAAGTAGATGAATGGTTCCTCTGCCAGCGCAGAGCACAATTACTTTTCAATGTAAAGGCAGACTATATAGCTTCCATTTGGATTACAGGCAGATGTTAACTCTTTCCATGTGCATAGTATCTCCAACCTCCTCCAACACGACAAAAGTTAAAAGAATTACAGGGAAGGCATAACCCACAACAGTTTAACAACTTGTATTTACAGATTTTTAAACCTATATAATAGGCTTACTGGTGTTGAGAACAACAATCTCTATCGGCTTTGCATGGCAAGGTTTTGGTAGTGGGGGGGGCTACAGAGGTGACTTCTGTGAGAAGCTGCTAGAAGCTTCCCGTGTGTGACAGAGCCAATGCCAGCCAGCTCCAAGATGGACCCACCACTGGCCAGGGCTGAGCCCATCAGCGATGGTGGTAGTGCCTCTGGGATAACAGAGTTAAGGGAAAAAATTGCTGCGCAACAGCAGCCAGAAGAGAGGAGAAGATGTGAGAGAAACAGCCCTGCAGACACCAAGGTCAGTGCAGAAGGAGGGGGAGGAGGTGCTCCAGGCACCAGAGCAGAGATTCCCCTGCAGCCCCTGGAGAAGGGCATGGTGATGCAGGCTGTCCTCCTGCAGCCCATGGAGGTCCATGGTGGAGCAGATATCCACCTGCAGCCCGTGGAGGACCCCACGCTGGAACAGGTGGATGCCCAAAGGAGACTGACCCCACGGGAAGCCCATGCTGGAGCAGGCTCCTGGCAGGACCTGTGGCCCCGTGGAGAGAGGAGCCCACACCAGAGCAGGTTTGCTGGCAGGACTTGTGACCCCGTGGGGGACCCATGCTGGAGCAGTTCGTGAAGAACTGCAGCCCGTGGGAAGGACTCATGTTGGAGAAGTTGGTGGAGGACCGTCTCCGGTGGGAGGGCCCCCAGGCTGGAGCAGGGGCAGAGTGTGAGGAGTCCTCCCCCTGAGGAGGAAGGAGCGGCAGAGACACCGTGTGAGGAACTGACCACAACCCCCATTCCCCATCCCCCTGTGCTGCTGGCAGAGGTAGAGAAAATTGTGAGTGAAGTTCAGCCCAGGAAGAAGGGAGGGGTGGATGGAAGGGGTTTTAAAGATTCGGTTTTCTCTCTCATTACTCTGATTTGATTGGTAATAAATTAAATTAATTTCCACAAGTTGCGACTGTTTTGCCCGTGATGGTAATTGGTAAGTGATCTCTCCCTGTCCTTATCTCGACCCAGGAGCCTTTGGTTGTATCTTCTCTCGCCTGTCCAGCTGAGGAGGGCAGTGATAGAGCAGCTTTGGGGGTCAACCCACCACACAATCATACTGCAGAAACACTGAATTAAGGACTTTAGGCTCACGAATGAAAAATTGTGCAGCTTGCTTTTTAAGGCTAGCATACTGGCTTACATGCATCATATTCATAGAAAGCTCTTCACACATATAATCAGAATGCTCTGAAAATGAAGTTCCTTTAAAAAAAAAAAGCTGATTTCTAATGTTTCTTCATCAGTTTTGTAGAAGAGCTATCAAGAATAGAAACCTTTCTCTAAAGGTGCACTGATTGGGAGTGAATGAAGTACTCATGCTCTGCAGGGACAGGCAACTTTGACATCAGCAGCAGTCAAGGGTGGGACCTGAAAAACACTTCAATCTCAGCTTTCTGGAGAGGTCCTTAGCTTGCAAGGACCACAGTATGTAGACCAATCCAAGCTGAAGTGAAGCCTTGACGAATTTTCCTCCTCCACTCTATTCACCTGAGCCAATTCACTCTAGTCACATAAGTACATTCACTGATTTCATTGAAATATTTTTTGAGGAAGAAAATTACTCAAGAATATTTACAAGATCAGAGCTCTACATACAGAAATTATGAATGTTGGTTTCAGTTTGTAATAGGCTAGAAAAAATGACTGAAAAATGTTAACCTTTATGCCCTTCAACTTGTTAGCTACCAAACATATTAAAGTTTAAGTATGCCAATGAAGTGTGTTGAAACACATCTACAATTACCCAATCTAAACTATCCCACAGTATTCACTTACGACAGCTGAACTCCAGCATCTTTACTCTGCTACTTGCATTCCTTGCTCCCCACAGGATGTTGAATGTCAGTATTTCATGAACATTACAGCAACAACTGTCAGTGATTATCACCTCACCAAACAACTCTTTTCAGGGAACAGAAGATTCAGCTATACATCACCCATGGTTGACCTATCCTACCCAGAAACTTCCCTGACACCAGCCAGAAATCATTTGGACCACTGTGACCAATAGCATCATCTACGTTTCCTGATCCATGACATAAATACAATGTGGTCACACCGTGTTCTGAAAGAGTAAATACTTTCTACCCTGGCCATGCCTCAAAATGGCAGGCTGTAGGAAGATGCTGTGCCTGCAGAAAAGTTTGCTCCAAACCTTTTTTTGAAGCTCATGTAACCTGAGCCTGGAAAAGGATCTCTTAACAGCAACAGAGCCAGGAAATACTGGCCTAAAGACATCTTAGGCAGTTAATAAAAATAGTAACTTTCAAGCTACACTTAAACTCACCGGCATACCACAGATGAAAAGACACATGAAAAGGATTGGATGGCAGGCAACCTATCCTTCAGCAGAAAAACAGCTCCTGGACACTTCTGCTTCAACACTCCAGGGTTTCCTGAAGACTACTGTGAGATTCAGATGTGACACCACCACACGTGTGTGTGTGTGGATGGGATGTATACCTCTATGGAAGGAGACATAAATGCAGCTGGGCAAAGAGACTGGCAGCATATTTTCTCCTGCCTGGTGAAGTTCCTCCAGTCACAGCAGCCAGATTATCACTGGGAAAAGTTGTATCCATGTAGAGCTTTAGGGTTTTCACATGCTTCTTCAAACACTAGAAACAGACACTGGCAGGTGCCCATTTGGGATGCCCGCCTGAGGCTTGGGTGTACGCTGGCATGGCTTTACATCCTCACTGATCACAGAGTACCAGCTGAGGGCTTGCTCAGCTCCCTCATTGTCTGCATTCCTTACCACACTACCACAGAGTATGCCAGAGGCACTGCCTTGGAGCTCTCGGAAAAGGTGCCTCTGAAAAAGATCAGTTCAAAACCCCTCATCATCTGACCTTCAAAATTCCCAGAGTAAAATATACAGAAGAACACTTCACATCTGCAAAGAGGACAGTTTTTTAAAACTCTTTATGGTTCAACTACACACTTGTGCAGAGGCACATATACACATCTCTCTACTGTACTGTGTAATTGCCTCTCTCCTTATTCACTAACACAGAAGCCTAGGACCAATCCTTCATCTACTTTACCACCATGTAATGCCTCAAACTGAAAGATTTTTAGCCTTTCTTGCCCTTCCTAAGTAAAATCAGAGGAAGCCTCCAAAGCCTCAGACTTTCCTGTCATCTTCCCAGAGTACTTGGTTGTGTTAAATCAGAAACAATTGTAACTCCTACTCTCCTGACATCAAATTTCAAGCCCCGCTGCCCATACCTAGTTCCTGTTTCCAGTTCTTCTAATACCTTCAGATCAACAACCTTTCTCAGTATACTATCACTCAAGCCAAGCCAAACTAAAACTATCTCAATATTCATCACTGATAACAGGCAGTAGTAGATGCTTAAGAGAAAGAGTGTAAGAAGTGGTCATTCTACATTAGAATGGAGTGACCTCTGGTGCATCGTATTTTCTTCTTTCAGCAAATACTAGTTCAGGAACTGAGCTGGAGGAAGCACTTGAATTGGTGTTTTAAACAGCTGACAAGGAACCGAAAGAAGAGTTAGCATTCATCAAAGGCAAATCTTGCAAACTCAGTGCCAGCTCTTTCCAGTCACCTGCTCTTTCACTCCTGATGAAGAATCAAGACAACGATGCAAGGGAAAGCAACAGAACACTGTTACTGAAGTACACCTGCCAGAATTGCAAGCAGATCCCTCAGTACCTAAGCAGCGTTATACGCTTGGGAAATTTCCTTGCATGCCAGCATGACCAAAGTAGTTATCTAGCACATTCTTTAGATTATTTGTTCAAACTCTGAGCTTTTTTGCATAGCCAGGCATCTATATTAAACAAAAAGTGTGGACCAGTCCTCTGAAAATGTTTTCTGTGGATTAGAGGGGAGAAGGAATACTGATTGTGTTGTCTCCCTTACCCATCCATTACACAACTTTTAAGGACTGCAAAGGGGAAAGGGAAAAGTCAGTTACTTCTCACAAATGTACAGAGGGGACATTAAATTAGCTGTTTCAGATAACTGGCTGAGGAAGAGTCATAAACATAATCCAAGGCCTCTTAATAAAAGGTAGGTTTTCTAGTGAAGGACCAGCAAAAGACTAATTTCAAAGATTTGGGTTGCACCTCCATGAACCTGATCAGGTCAAGCATGCTGAAAAGTGTCTGGGGTGAATTTTCCTTAATGTGTCTTTCCTTTAGGACACTGACTAAACTAGAGATGAGAGTAACTGACAACAGAATCGTATTGGAAACAAAACTGAAAATGTGATCCCAGTCAGAAGACATGGAAGATTTTTACAGCACATACAGTTCTGTTGATAGCTGAATTCCAGGGACACACTTTCAAATATATGAAAACATGACTTATGCCTGTGTTCATCTTTCTTACCCATTCAAACTTTAGTCAACACAGTGATTTTCAGAAAAGAGAAAGAAAGAACCTAAGAGAGGAGAGAGTTATCAGAGACTCAACTCTCTCAAAAGTTTCCTCAACAGGCTTCCTCCTTTTCAGACTGCTGCTGCTTCCACTAACAAAGATCCTTGTGGTTCATTTCTGTCTGCTCTTTGTCTTTCACATTCCAATTCTTTTTCCCTGTCTCCCACACCACCTCAATGTAACCCTCAGTTACTCTCATGCTTCACACTCTTGTACTCTTGGAATTGGCTATTTGTTTCAAAAAGCTTGTCGAGAAGTTCGATAGATATCCAAACTATTTTAATATTGTTATTTCCCTCTATGCTATAGCCAGAAAAGAATCTCAAGCAGGCATGTGAAATAGAGATGATGTAAAACATGTAAATAAACTCTTGTCTAAGAAGAATTCTGCCTAAAAATTTCCTCACCAATATATTTTGAAATGTTTTTCTTTTCCATTTTATTTCCCCATGCACTGTGGATCTGAAACCTGTGGGAAAACCCAGTTCTAATAATTTCAAACTGGTTATTACCCATATCTTGCAACAGACTCCTCTCCCTCTACATATTAAAGAACACAACCTGGTTTTTGATGGTTCAGTCTTCTCCACTTGGGTCTCCATTGTTCTAAGCCAAAGCTGTGTCGAGCTACAGGTTTTGCATTTGGATATTCACATAGATTTGTATCTTACCTGTGTTATGAAGGATAACACTTCATCAACCATATGTAGAAGTCCTTAATTTTTTTACCTTTTGTAACACTTACTGTAAAACTGAAGCTAGATCTTTGCAATAAAGCTTGTGAGAGTCTTAATGAATTTGTTTGCCCATCCTGAATGGATTTGTTTGTTGAAGCATCTACTCTAAGAAGTTATTATGATTTAAGCAGAAACATCTTGGAACATATACCTATATTATGCTTATATATGCATACACTGTCCCCAGTACTTATCAGCCTCATGTGTGTACTTACTTTCAGGGTGTGCAGGGTGTCGGTCCATTCCATGGAAGCTATCTGAGGTATAGCAGTAAGGAGTATGCTAGTAGCCTTATTTGCATTCCCTTTCAGCGTCTTTAAAACTTTATCCACTGAAACCTAGAAATACAATAAAACTGAGTGGTGTCTCTCAATTTTGATGGCACATATTTTACATACTCAAATTCATTTAACTCATCCATCTCTAAGTGAAAAGGTGAAACCTTAAAATACCACAATCATTTTAGTCAGTGAAAACGTCTTTCCTCTGTGGGAGTATGTTTGCTTGTATGTTACACAAACAGGAGACCTAAAAAAGATACATTATTTTGCACAGAGCTACAAAAGAAAAAACACCAGACCAATTATGGGATGACAAGCTCATACACACCCCCCCCCCCCCAACATCCCACAACAAAGGAAA